GGCCTGGTGCTGGCTGGGGGCAGAAGCCGCCTGGAGCCCCACTGAGAACCAGGATCCAGGAGGCTGTGGGTAGCATGGCCACTGTCAGGCAAAGCTGACCTTCCTGGCTCACTTTCCAAAAGCAACCCCATCCCATCCGGGGCCCCTCCGGGGCTCCTCAGGTGCGTCTGGGCCTTCAGACTGTCTTAGACCCCCTCTCTTTCTCTGGTTCACCAAGTGGATGTGCGAAGAGGTAGCAAGATGCAGGAGAGAGCGAGGCAGCAAGGTGTGGTTGGCAAATTGGACACGGGATGGGAGATAGAAATCGGAAAGGTAGGTATGACTTAAGAGAGGGAAGCGCCACTTGGAGTGGTAGAAACTTGGTCTTCTACTCCGTCTGATCCTGCACAATGGTCAACTCTCCCTGCTGAGCCCCGAATTTTTAGCCCCCCACTAGGCAAGAGGAAGCGCTAGCTTCAGGACATTGCCTGCGTGCGGAATGCCTAGAGAAGGGAAGCCCATATCCCAGGGGTAAGCAGGAGGCCGGGCCGAGTGAGCTGGAAGCACGAAGGATGTGAGTCCAACTCAGAGTGGGAACTTGGGAGCCACAGGAGAGCGGGTCTGAAAGCTCGAGGGCGCAGAGCGGAGCAGAGGGCAGAGACTGCAGGTGGAGACGGGGTCAGGAAGGAAATCGTGGGCCTCCCGCAGCCCCAGGACGAGTCCCGGTGGCTTGGAGACCTGCGAGTGCATTTTCGCGCTTGGTCGTGATCTTTAGCGCGCTCTGGCGCCCCCTCGCAGGAGTGCGACGGGCTTTTCACTTCCTGAGACCTCACCCTAGGACTCTAGCCCCCGGCCGGTCTGGGGCACCCCGACTAGCAGCCCTGGGGCCCTAAGCTCCCCCACTGCGCAACAGGCACTAATGCACAAAAGGCCAATTAGAAGCTAGGGCGGGGCCGATGAATGGACCTTTCGCTTTCGAGCGAACAACCGCCTCAGGTTTCTCGGCGCACAGGGTCGAGCCTTAGTGGAGCTGCCTCCCTGAGCGGGGTCATGGCCGAGGTCAGAGGGTTCTCAAAACTCCCACTTCCCCCTCGCTATGGAGCTGGTTGGGGGAAATAAATCAGGGGGCCGAGCCACCGATGCAGCCCGCAGCTCCTCATCCGGGGGCGCGGAAAAGGGGGCACCCCAAAGCCGAAGGCCGGTATCCTCTGCCCCGCCCGCCGCTGCTCCGAGGAGGCACCTAAATAAACCAAGCGCGGCTTGTCCGAATATTGAAGGCAGGTCTAGAAAAATGCGCAGTTACAAAAAATGGCTGTTGTTTGCCAAACTGCGGAGTTGGTGATGCTCTTTGGGAATAACACTCCCAACCCAAGCCTCCTCTACAGACTCTGACACACACACATGCCTGTGTCCTCAGACACACAAATGCCCTCTTAGTGCTGGGCACGGATACTCATCACAGGCGCCCCTCACCCATACACAGAGAAACGTCCCCCCAAATCACACACACCGATGACACCCCCATCCCCTGAGATGCACAATTCAGTAGAATCCAGACATTCTGCACGACCGGACGCAGTTCAGCGCCGGTCCACCCCGTTACGGGCACCCTGCAGCCCCCCAACAGTAAGTTCTTGCCCCAACTCAAAACGCTTTAGATGGGCAAGGGAAGACAGACGTCTCGACACAATCGCACCGTCTGCACAAGCAGCACTAGTCTCAGAGGCCTCTAACTCAGCCAACATCACACAGACTGGCTGAAGTCCTGGGGGAGACACACACTTTTGCACTGCTACACAAACGCAGCTGTACCTACAAGGACGCCCATTCTAAGCAGCCATAATCACGGACCTTCACCCTTACTCACCCTTCTACCGACTTGCAACTGCCCACCTGTGGGAACCCTGGCTCACACACCCCTACCACGGAACTGGGCCGGGCCAGGCCTCAGAACCGCCAGAAGCCCTCTCTAAGCAGCGCGCGAGTCCAGGACTTTTGTTTTCCGTGATTCAAGGCGGGGGACTGGGAGGAGCCGAGATTTCCAAAGTCGCGCGCGCAGGCCGGAGCCCCCTTTCTGCCTGGCCCTTTTGGCGCGCCTCTTTGGCTGCCGCGATCCGCCCCTAGCACAAAAGTGGCCCCGCGGGTTCCCGGGCCGAGGCCAACGCACCCGCTCCAGCTAGGCTTGACTGCCAGGAACAGAATCCGAAAGACTTGGGAGCACCGAACATCCAAAGGAGAGCTTGAAAGGGTAACTAACTGTTGGAGGTCCAAACCTTCTACCTCAGAAGTTTCTAGCAACCTTCCCGGACAAACAGGTTTCAAAGGGAGAAACGCACACGGGACCCGTGTGGAAGTCGCAGGAGAGCAAAGCTGGGGGGCACTCGCTCTGTGCACTCAGTTTGACCCTCTGGAGCAATGCAGACTGAAAACCCGTGTCTCCAGAACATCCACTTGGCACAGGGGTGAGGGGACGCACAGGGCAAAGGCGCACAGACAACCAACAAGAAAATGGGACGCGGATCAAACTGCTAACCTATATTCCCTTTCGGGGTCACAGGCAGGACACATGGCAACGTGCCTGCAGTTGGCCAGGTACAGAGAGGAGCTCAGAGACCGGCCCACGATGCCCACAGAGCCCTGCCCAGGGACACCCAGGCCTTGCACCTGTGTAACACGAGGGGGCACACGGCTCCCCTACATCCGTGCCCAGAGGGCTCCAGCTCTGCACGCGCGTACCGAGAAGGGGACGCAACCGGAGCACGAGCGCCCCGCGGACCCTGCCCGGCGCCCCACGCCCAGATAGTCATCGCGGGATGGCATCTCGCAAATATTTATATTCCTCGGCACCACGGCAGCCCGCGTCCACATTAGACGCTCTAATCCTGCCACTTTAAATAGATGAATTAATAAAGCAAACGAGCGGCTAATAAGCTGACTGTCCTGCCTTTTTGAGGCGGGGGAAGGACTCGAAAGTGCGCCAAATTTGTTTGCAGTGGATCAAGGCTAGCCGCCTCTGCTTCACTTTCTTTATCTTAATTCCGACTTGAAAAGATATAATTATCTAGTTTGAACAGAGCTGCTATCAAATCCTTCTTTGGGCCGGGAAGGGGGGCGTTGGAGTGGATTGCGGCTCTCTGAGCCGCTCAGTGCAGCCGGAGATAGCGCGTAATGAAGATGTGGAGGCCTGAGATACAAAGGGCATTAACCTCATTAGCATGAAACCTTTTCTTCTTACCATGGTGGGACCCTTTCAGCCGCCTAATCCCCCCTATTTTCAAAGCTTGGTTTGTAATAAAGCTTTTAGTTTTTTTCCCCCTCAAAGCTAATAGTATTCTCTGATGATTTTATTGCTGTTACACTTCATAGGGCATTTACCCCCCCAAAAAAATCTCCACTACCACCCCTCTTTTCTTGTACTTAAAAAAAATGAAGTATATGGTTCCTGCAGAAATTCGCCTTTTACCAAGATAGGAAATTTTCTTCTGGAAAAGCCAGTCTGAATTTTAACAGGACCATGATCCTGTTTGAGATATTCCATGTTTCAGAAGGTAGATGGAAAGAAAAGATAACTCCTATTTGTTTAAGCAGAAAGGATGCAGCTTGGGAACAGTAACATCAAGTGCTCTGGACAACTAACAGTCACTAAGAGTCCCACTGCCCAAGCAGCTGAAAGCCCCATACAGGTTTCAGGGATACCCTGGCCTGGTGGCACCTGTCCCCCTATGAGGCAACCCAGGGTCTCCCTGAAGCCACCCGTCTTACCCTCACATACCCACAGCACATACATTTTCCAAGAGGGGTCTGTGTAAAAATGTGGTATGAGCATCCAGGTCTACACAGAGAGAGAGAGAGAGAGAGAGGCAAAGGAGATAGATGGAGAATGAATTCTGCTTGAGAGGAGGGGAAGAAAAACAGAAAGAAAAAATTTCCATAGTGCCCTATAGTCCCCACACGTGCACAGAATGTCTAATCTTAACTTTGCAAGGCAGGATGTTAACAAAGCTTGTATTTTTGCCCTGCATTGTAACTTGGCCTTATCACAGTGTAAAGGGTGGGGAGATTGTCCTAAATTATGTCCAGGCAGCCCCCCTGGATCCGTGGATTAAGAGATTAAAGGAGACCACTGGGCAAGGCCTCCTCTTTCCCCTTCATATTCCTGGTATGATAATTGCTTAAACTGATTTGCACTTTCACAAAAGCTCGAAGGACGCTTTGTAGCTCGAACAGAACAGACGAGGTTTCTCTATCAATGGAAATAAAACTGATTAATGCAGCCTATCAGGATAAGAAGCAAATGAAGCATGCAAAAACAACCTCATACCCCTAGAAGGGGGAAGGAGGGAGGGGGAAAAAAAAAAGCTAAGTTTCCTCCAAGAATGGTTACAACTTTTTCTTTAATGTTAAAATTGAGAGTTGAAGCTTTCTCAGAATGCTTGCCTTATAAGGCTCCCGAGGCCTTTGGACTCATCCCATCACCTTTGGCAGATTGGGGCCAAGAAGTAAGGAAAGAAAGGACTAACAGAAGGGAAGGAGGAAGGAGAGGGGGCAGGGAGACTTGTACTTAAGGGGCTTGAAGTCAGAAATAAAGTTTAGAAGTCCCAGGATTCTGATTCGGATAAGTGTTTTCCCCTATTCTGCGAGAATATTCTTTAATTCAAAAACTATATAACTAAAATTTTACAAAGCAGAGGTAAAGAGAAGTAAGCATTTTTAGCCTAAAGTTCAAACTAAACTCCTCCTGTACAGCATGAAACCAACAAGCAAAGGTCTTCTTGGAAAACTTTTCTCCCGTCCCTTTTCTGACATTAGTTATCCTAATCTTCTCACTTCCCCCTGCTCATCTTTCTTTAAAATGCACCCCCCAAAAAATTTAATGGCCTTTTTGTGGGTAGGGAGCCAGGGCTTCTTGAGTCTAGTTGGGGAAGAACCACATTCAAAGTATAGTGATGCCTTTTTTTTTTTTTTTTTTTTTTTTTTTTTTTTTTTTTTTTTTTTTTTTTTTTTTTTTAAGATCCACTTCAATTTCCCAAGACAACTACTCTGAGGGCATATTGATAAATCTTTATTGACAAAATATTGACATTGACATACTTCTTGGAAGTATATAGGGTGTTAGAATTCTAACAAATTAACACAAAACACAAAAATATTTACATTCTGGTGTAGAAGGAAGCATTCGTCACTCTCTTTAGTGAGTCTATGGTCTTGGAAGAGAAACTCAGTGCTTGAGAACTTGCCGCATGTCCTTGGTCTCACTAACATTGTCCCCACTAACTACCGTCCTTCAGCTTTTGCAATAGATAGACTGAAAGTTTTGAATGGTCATTACCGGAAATGGTTGGACTCAGCCAATTTCTCCAACCACTGAAAAGAGTTTACTTGATGGTGTTCCGCCTCAGAATGTTAGGAAAGGGAATGTCCAAGAAATAGAATTAATTGGGGTTTTTTTTTTTTTTGGCCTAGTACAAGTCCTGATTCTTTTTATGGGCACCCTCCCTCACCACCCTCATTCTCATCCTGCTCCCTGTTTCTCTGCAAGAGGACCCCTATCGCTGAGCCTATTTCATTTAAGCTTTCAAAATCACTTTGACATCAGAAGGTATCAAAAAGGGTTTACAGACTGCACATTTCTCAGAAAAATTAAAATAAGCACACAGAACCTGTCTTTAAAAGGAATATAAAATTACAATTCATTTTGTCTTTAGACACCATTCGCCCAACAACTGCTACATGCAATTCAAGTTTTTGAAACAGGTGTGGGATGAGGCTAGATGTGGAATTTTGCTTGTTATTACTAATTCTTTTTAAGGATTGGGGGAAACACTATGCAGTGCAAAATTAAAAGTCCTGTGCCTGGTTGAGGTTTGTTTGTGATTTTTTTAAGTCATTATTTTCACCATTTCTCAAAGTGGACTGCGATAAACGGGATCTCTGCCAATCATCTTGTCTCCCTGGTTTGGTGTCTGACTGATAGCTCCCCCGTCAGAGTGTGTTCAGCTTTGCACATTCAGATCTCCCTCTCCCTCTCCCTCTCCCTCTCTCTCTCCCTCTCTCTCTCTCTCCTCACTCTCTCTTTCTCTCTTTCTCTCACACTCACTCACTCAGCTGCCTCTTTAGAGGTGGGCTGCAAGTTGATGAAGGAGCCTCCATCCTCTGCCATCCCGGGCGCCCCCCAACTCAGATGGGGACCCAGCGCCCTCGCTGTACAAACTCTGGGACGCGCTGTTGCTCTCTCTGATCCCCTCTCTTGCTCGGTGAATATATGTGCAGTTTGTTTTTTATTTGTAGGGTCTTTTCTTCTTCCCCTCCTCTCCCTGCCTCTGTTCTGCTCCATGTTGTCCGCTTCTGTGGGGTTAAATCTGTCCTTTTAATCATCTGAGGTCACATCTATTTCCTCCGGACTCGCCTGTTTAGTGGCGATTCTCCACCGGTTGATATGGTGTGTCCCTTTTTTCTTTTGTTGTGAGTCTGAGCCTTCTTCCTCCAGCTTCTGCCTTTTGAATTTAGTCCTCCGGTTCTGAAACCATACTTTTACCTAAAGGGAGAAGCAGGTGGGGCCCTGTTAGGTCCTTCACAGCACCCTCCTATGAAGTTCAGATTCCTTCCACTGCCCAGGCCCCAGTCCAAGGCCTGAGGAAGCCCATGTGTGTCCTTAGGGTTACCATCTATGGCCTCCCTTCCTGGAGCAGAGCTCCTAGTGCTAAGGGAAGGAACCCAGATCCCTGACTTTCTGAACCCCCTTGGAAAGACTTTCCCCAGAGCCCCAGAGCCCATGGTACACTGCGCCCCTTCTCTCCTGGCCCTGCCTAGGGCACCCACATCCCCGAGGAGAGCAAAAGCCCTGTAAAGATTGGGAATCCCTATAAAATAATAAATAAGGAAAAATAAAAAGAAACCTCTTCCTAACTAAACACACACACACACACACACACACCTCCAGCAAGCCAGCAAAAAGAAAAACCTCTGTCTGGGCTGCTGCAGCTCCTACAGGGCCCAATATGCTTTCTATTTTCTGTCGATCTGGCATTGCCTTAATACAGTGCCTCCTCTGCAAGGTAGCAAGGTAGCAAGGTAGCAAGGTAGACCATCCGAGTTTGCCTGAGCCACTGCCACTGACTCTGGCAGGTGAGCAGGAGTGGTGCAGAGAGAGAGGAAAGCAAGGGGACAGTGGGGTGCAGGGTGCACAAGCCTCAGTTGCAACCCAGCAGCACCTTTCCAGCTAGGAAAAAGTGTTCAAAAGTGAAAGCTTCCAGAAGACCATGAGATAGAGAAGTAAGAGGAAAAACTAAAAAAGAGGATGGCGGGACAGCTTCGCTCCTACTGTCCAGCCCCAGAACAGGACAGGGTCAGTCTCAGACTGGGCCACCTCACTGCCCACCGAGGCAAGGCTGGCAGCCTGGTCTCCCCAGGGCTGCTACTAGAGGTCCCTAGAGCAGTGAAGTTGGAGTCAGCTGCAAATTGAAGGCCCCCTGGGGGAAGCTGGGTGGTGGGTCTCCATTCAGCAATAAGACGGACAGTAATACTGTCCGAGCTTCCCAGTAGAGAGAAAGGAGGACTGGTGCTGACTGCACCTTCCACATCCCAGCAAACCTACCCCAGTGGTAGCACCCTGGCCCAGTCCAAGTCCCTGGGCCCTTGAGGTCTCCAACCACTGCCTACTTTAAGTCTTCTCCGTTCAACTTGCTCTCCCCAATGCCTTAGCCCCCCAAAGTGCCCCATGAAAAAGCTGAGCGGGAACAAGGCTGAGTTTAATTTGCTTTGAGTTTGCTAATTGAGGAGGAGGACGGTTCATTTCTCCCCCCGGCGCTCGCCCAAGGCGCGCGTCGGTGAGCTGGGGCTTGACATTCACACAAAGACTGCAGGCAGCGTGGGCAGCCAGGCGGACAAAGACCACCTTCGCCTGGGCTGTCCAGAGGAAATCAGCCGCCCGAGCCTTGTGCCCACCCTCACAAACCCATGAGGCTCTCCTCCATCCCCCGCCACCCCGGGAACAGGGAGGGAGATATGTTTTTTCAAAAAAGCCTTGACCTTTTCGCATTTCCCAGAAAAAGTGTTACAACTTAATCTGCCCAAAAATGTTACTGTTTGCTCGGAACTTTGACCTGCCCTGTGGCTGGAGTACAGTAGCATCTACTGTAGCGCTAAGTCCCCTTTCCCACTCTGGGACAAGCCCGAGCCTGGCTTGCTTCAGGACTCCGCTGAACAGCAGGGCCTATCCCCTGAGTCCGCTGCTCCCCCCAGTCTTCCGGCTTCATTTCTCTGATTACAAGGGGGGCGCCACAGTCTAGCTCCAGCTCTGGACTCTCCAGCCCCCTTAAAGGGAATACCCGGGCCCAGGGTGGGAGCCTACTGATGTAGAGTTGCTCATAACTCAGGGATAACCCAGCTCTCCACTCTCCAGACCCGCAGGCCCAAACAACCCGGACACCCCACTGCACTTTCCTTCATCCTGGATCCAAGTACTGTACCTACAACTCTCACCAAAATTTTCACCAACAAAGCCTAGATGTGTGTGTGTGTGTGTGTGTGTGTGTGTGTGTGTGTGTGTGTGTGTTAGCCAGGTGCTGCCCGACCTGCGCAGCGGGCAGAAGGAGCAATGGAAACGTTCCACTCTGTAGAACCCGGGGGATCAGCTCACAGTCCCTGCTGGAGCTCTACAAAACTGGGCACCTGGAAAGTTATACAGGCAGAGGCCAGAGTAGAACTAGCAGCAGGGCCCTGGGCTGACGGAGAGAACTTTCTCAGTGCTCAGCACTGGTGAGTGTCAGGTGTGATCTGCCTGGATCTGTGGGCTAGGGTGAGGGGCCAATGCCAGGATGGGGGCCTTCCCTCCTGGGCTGCACCCACCTGAGTTTCCGTGAGGCTGAGGCTGTGTGCCAGCTGCTTCCTTTCTGCGCCCACAACGTAGTGATTCTTCTCAAAGGCGTGTTCCAGCCTTAGAAGCTGGGACGGGGAGAAGGCCGTTCGGATCCGCTTAGGTTTTCTGGCCAGCGCGTTGTGCAAAAGGAAACTCTCTGGGCTTGTGTCGTTCCCTGCAGGGGGCACAGTATAAGTGCCATTAGGGGGCCCATCTGGCCCGATCCGAACTTCTCCCCAGCCGGGCTGGGCGGCTTTTCGCCCATGGCCGCCGCCTAATCAAAGCCGACGGACCTGCCAGGTCTGGTGGTCCTCCGGAGCGCAATGGGGAAGCCGACCCAGCTGCCAGACCCGGACCGTCACGGATCCACCAGGATGGGATTCAACCCGCAGCTGCTCCGGAGAACCTAGACCCCGGGCTCAGGACCTCTGCGCGCCCGGACTCCGTCCGCATCCGCTTCGTCGCCCCGGGCCCGCCACGTCCCTGCTAGTGCCAGGGTTGGGGTAAGTGGTGGCAGAGCCTAGCTGGGAGACTGGCGCCTACCACCCAAAGGAACTGCTCTCTTCTTTTCAACTTCTCGGACAACTCTGACCCCAGGCCGCTGCCCAAAGTTTTCTCGAGGATTTGTTTTTTGTTGTTGTTGTTAGGTTTTTTAATTAATTAATTTTTTAAAATCTTGCTACCTCTTTGAGAAAGGAGAGGACAGGTGAGTCCTTGCAACCAGACCAAGACAGAAATTTTGCAGTGGGTGTGCAGGGCTTCTACCGCTGCTGCCTCGGGTGACCCGGCTCCAGAGAACTAGGAAGAAGCCTCGAGCGAAGGGATCAAAACCCAAGGGTTACAGAGTTGCGCGCACCGACTCAGGCTGGTCTGCGGCCAGGGAAGATACCAGCTGTTCAGGATCTGGTGGAGCAACCAGGAACGCGACTGGCAGAAAATGCGGAAGGGAAGTCTTAAACTTTGCTAGCAAAGCCACTGTTTCGGTTCACTTATTACAGTAAGAAATCGGTTCGCCGAAAACTCAAAGAACAAACTTACAGCCAGGCTGGAACAGAAGCAAATCCAATTCAAAAATAAGGAATTTGGTTTTTTTTTTTTTCTTTTTAACTCTGGGGAGACATGATGACAATCTTCCCTATTCTAGGCACAGGCAGAAATGCAAAGGGTTAATTTATGGATCAGCCGCTGGGTATGGACCGGCGGTCTGCCGGAGATAGTTGTTTTTTTTTTTTTTAACGGACTGGGATCCGGATCTGTAAACTAATTACTCGCCCCCCTTTCCCCTAAGTTTTTACTTTCTTGCCACTCCCACCCAGAGAAAAATAAAATGTAAAAATATCTAGAAATGAAAATACCTAAAAAGATCTCCTCTCCCAGGCCGTCTCTGGACTCGGTTCGTTTATTTTAAAAGGAAGAAAAACAAAAACCAGACTGAACCTGCCTTCCCGCCTGGGCCGCGCACCAATTAAGCAGGTCGCCGAGCACGGAGCCCCGGAGGTTTTTTATCTCCTCCGGTTCCCTCGCCTCTCCAGGCCTCCAAAAAAGCAGGGGATGGAGGTATTTTGAGGGTCGCCTTAGTGCCCTGGCCTCAGAGTGGAAGACACTGAAGTCGCGGGTCGGGCTGAAGAGGCATGGAGTGTGCGTCCAAAGAGTCAAGCACATCCGAGGGGGACCAGGCTGTCAGGCCTGTCCGCTCCTCTCAGAGCCAGTGCCCTGGACATGGCCGAGGGACCGCGATTCTGAGGACCCCGCGGGCTCTGGGCTTGCTGGTGGTGGACACGCACAGCGGCTGTCCCAGGGTGCCCGACCAGAGCGCACTCAGGAACAACTTGACCCGCGCCCCTTCCCCAAAGATCAGTCGGCCGGCAGCCCGGCACCCCAAGCCAGCTGTAGCTTCAGAGAGTGAGGCTCAGCACCACACCCACCCCTGGCTGCCCAGTTCCTGACCAGGCGCGAGGCCCGCGAGTCCGAGGAACCTTCGCCCAGGCCTTGCCAGGCGCCCACCCGAGCAGGCCGGGCGCAGAAAAGGATGCGGAGGGCGCGGCGCGCTGCGGTCCCGACGTGTCACGTACCTTGGAAGCGATGGCCCAGATACCGGTAGCGGTGGATGAGCCAGGGATAAAAGGTGGACGGGTCCCGCTGCTGCGAGGCGAAGAGGGGGTGTGGCGAGTGCGAAGAGGGCAGGGGGTGGGCGGCCAGGGCGTGCGGCGGCGGCACAGG